CGATTTTGGAATAGTACTTCCCTGTAAATATGTTGTCAATTCCTATATTTCAAGTATCTGGAAATTGAATGAGAGACTATGTTATAGGAAGACGAGGCCTCTCAGTCAATTTATAAAAGACAAATATGGGCATATGATGAAGTTAGTCTTGCTTGTATTTGATATCTTATGGAGAATTTTTTTACTTATCTTTATACATTATGTCTTGAAGTTGCTATCAAGGTTTAATTTATACCCATGTGCTTTGACACTGGTGCCAAATTTGTTTTGCAATTTGCTTGTACATTTAGATGATCAGAACTTCGACAAGATTGCCCCCAATCCAACGGTTAGTTGAGATCAAATATGTTGCAGAACAACTGCACTTTAAGGTATCAACTTTGTTACTGCATGGTGGCAAGATTATAGAAGCAGTCACATGGTTCCGCCAGCATAATGCTTCATACAAAAGGCTTATAGGAGCACCAGAAGCTATATATCTTCACTGGGAATGGATGAGCAGACAATTCTTGGTATTTGCTGAGTTGCTTGAGACAAGTTCTGCGACTACTCAAAGCATTTCGTCTGTCGCTGCAGACAATCCTGATAGAGGCTTGACAGAGTGGGAATTTCGTCCTGCTTATTACTATCAGGTACAGATCCTTCTGGTTAGTTTGCATTTTGAAGAACCCCTTTTTCTAATCTGCATGATGGACCACCAAATGCAATTCAGGTCACTTTTGATAACTGCTGCATCCGATCTTGGTTATCTGTAATCCTTACATCCTCTTATGTTGTAACTTAAACTTGGTGACAGATAAGGAACCAGAAGTTTGAATATTTACCAGTCAATAAATTCTCCACCACTGAGGCCTTTTTTTTGCCATTTCATTATGATGTGCATGATTACTGTTACATATTTGTTCTTTCAGTTTTGTCTTCTGTCCACTATTCATGGTTGAAGCAACACTCTTTTGGCCACTGTTGCAGTGTGTTGAAAACCTCTTTCGAAAATTTTGGCATGCAGTGTGCTATACATGGTTGAAGCAGATCTATGTCTTAGCCATTGGCACTATGTGCTGGAAACCTAACCTCTGCTGATAACTTTGGAATGATGTGAATTGCTAGGGCTTCTATGGCCTTGTAATGCAAAGTTCTTTGACCTTGTTCATGATCTTCTGTTTACACTTCCTAATCCAGTTGGCAGCTCATTACTTGAAGAAGAAGCAGTCTTCTCTGGACATTGCCTTGTCAATGTTGGTCAATGCAAATGAAATTGATGGTGGTGCTGAATCAGTGGCGCCTTCCACATTTGTAGGGCAATTTGCTCGACTACTAGAGCAAGGAGATGCACTTTCCTTCCAGCCGTAAGTATTATAAGGCTAATTCTAAAATTACATATTCTGTTAGTTTTTCTGTCTGCTTGATAATTTTGTTTGATCGTGCAGTATTGACGATGAGGAGTATATTCATTATGCTCTTGCAGAAGGGAAAAGGTTCCAGGATTCTTATGAAATTATTGCATTGTATAAGAGATCTTTTGAATCATACGGTAACCTCAAAGTTCAGAGAATGGGATCCACTTGTGGACTGGAGATCGCTAAAGAATATTTTTCAGTTGGTGACTTCACAACTGCGAAGCAGTTTTTTGACAATTTTGCCGATCTATACAGACGAGAGGGCTGGGTCATACTGTTGTGGGAGGCCTTGGGTTTCTCGAGAGAGTGCTCTAAGAAAATGGGTGTGGTGAAAAATTTTGTAGAGAGCTCCCTAGAAATGGCTTCGCTACCTGTATCTTCTGATAACATCCAGTCTCTTGGATTCAAGGAATGTGGTCCAGCTGGTCCTCCAAGTCTTACAGAGAGAGAAAGTATTCACAAGGAGGTTTTGGAACTGGTCAGTGGAGAGTCGGGAATTAGATCAGTTGAAGAAAGTAATGATCTAAATGTGACGGAAGGAAACCCCCTTCATCTAGAGATTGACCTTGTCAGTCCTCTTAGATCAGTGCTTCTTGCTTCAGTGGCTTTCCATGAACAGACAGTAAAGCCTGGTGCATCTACGTTGATGACACTCTCACTTTTATCTCAATTACCCCTCACTACTGAGATTGATCAGTTAGAAGTCCAATTCAACCAGCCAGAGTATAACTTTACCATCATAAATGCTGAAAGACCGCAATCAACTTCAAAAATCACCAGTGGGCAGCACAATAATCGAGTAGAAACTGCTGCATCTTTATCACTTGTGACCAACAAGTGGCTCCGGCTGACATATGACATTAAATCAGGTTCGTCTTTTTTTATTAACAGTTCAGGGACCTGGCTCTAGTAGCAGCAGTAGTTCTTCGTTTCTTTGTCATCCTTGAGTTAGCTGACACCAGTTGCATGCGGTTTAGCTCTCTTATGTTTGATCTGACTGTACACACATTACCAGAATCTAGTTTTTAATATAATTACTCTTCCCTGTTTCTTCAGTTTCTTTGATTCTTGTGATGGCAGAAATCTTGGTCTTTGTCTCCTAGGTCATTGGTTTTCAAGTGGATTTTTGATACTTCATGCACATACTTTATTCGGCTAAAGTTATTCGATAGTGTTTTTCTTGGGACCTTCATCTCTGCTTTTTGTATTGCCACAGATATAACATGTTTGTCTTTTTCAGAACAAAGTGGAAAGCTAGAATGTATATCAGTCATTGCAAAACTTGGACCGCACTTCACCATATTTTGCAGAGCTGAAAGTCCTGCGTCTATGGATGGTTTACCTCTCTGGAAATTTGAAGACCGCGTAGAGACCTATCCTACCAAGGATCCTGCTCTTGCAATCACTGGTCAGAAGGTTATCCAAGTTGAAGAGGCTGACCCTCTTGTTGATCTTAATTTAGGTGATTCTGGTGCAGCTTTAGTAGGAGAGAGCTTCATGGTTCCTGTTGGTATAGCAGCTAGGGGCCATGATATCTATTCTGGTGAGTTGAAGATCAATTTGGTTGATGTAAAAGGAGGTGGCTTGTTCAGTCCAAGGGAAACAGAACCATCTACCATGGACGGTCATCATGTTGAGCTCCTGAGTGTTGCTGGAGCAGAATGGGAAGAGGAATCTAAAAAAGAAGCTGATAAAATTAACAATATCCAACAGTCCTTTGGATTAGTTTCCGTCCCATTTCTTAAAATTGGAGACACGTGGTCCTGCAAATTAGAGATCAAATGGAACCGATCAAAACCCATCATGCTATATGTATCACTTGGCTATTCTCCTCATGGCAATGAATTAAATGCTCAAAAGATTCATGTCCATAAGAGCTTACAGATCGAAGGAAAGAACCCAGTTCTGATCAGCCATCGCTTTTTGCTGCCATTCAGGCGTGATCCCCTGTTACTCTCAAAGATGAAGACGGTTTCTGAAAATAACCAGTTCACATCCTTACCTCTTAACGAGACAAGTATACTAATCTTAAGTGCTAAGAATTGTACAGAGATTCCGTTGCAGGTAGAATCATTGTCAGTAGAAGTGGATGAAGATTGTGCTGCTACCTCATGTTTAATAAAACCTGGAAGTGAGGATCTTGCAAATTCTGGCCTTCTTGTGCCGGGAGAGGAGTTTAGGAAGGTTTTCATGGTGATCCCTCAGGTAAACTCTTCAACACTTGGGATGGGAACTGTGTGCCTTAGATGGAGGAGGGATCGAGGAAGTGGACCACAGGTCAGTTGTATACAAGGAGATAGTGTTCTGACGAGACACAAGCTACCCGTTGTGAACGTGGAGTTAGCCCCCTTGACTATTACTTTGGAATGTCCTCCTTACGGCATTCTTGGAGATCCGTTCACATACTTCATCAAAATTCATAACCAGACACAGCTCCTTCAAGAGGTAAAGTTCTCACTGGCAGATTCCCAAAGCTTCGTTTTATCTGGGTCGCACAGTGGTACTGTCTATGTCCTTCCAAAGTCTGGGCACATCCTTAGTTATAAGTTAGTGCCACTGGCTTCAGGGTCGCTGCAGCTGCCGAAAGTTACTCTGACTTCAGTAAGATATTCAGCCGGTTTCCAACCATCGTTTAATGCTTCTACCATCTTTGTATATCCATCTAAGCCCCAATTTAAGGTGGCTGATGAGAGAGAGAGTAGGACCAAATCGGTTGCAGCAAAGTAATGCGACAACCCACCACAAGCTGCGGAGGTCGTATGTCGGCCGCACTAGCTAAACCAGAACATGCTCGTGATGATTGGTTAGCTTAGCTTGTGGCTAGATTGAAGCCGAAGAGCTGGGGTTTTCTATCTTTTCGGGTGACACATTTTTCTTAACCGCAACCATATGGAGGACGTGAGAAGTTCGTGTGACCATTCTTCTGAGGAAGCCGGCAGGAAATGCCAGAGGTTTTGTTGGGGAAGGATTAAGCGATGGGTCTTGATTGGTGATTGGGAGACCTGGTATAGAAATAGATTTTTTCTAGCTAAGCTGAAGTAAAAACCCTTTTCTCATTGTGCAAAGATACTGGAATCCAGAAGAAAGACCACATGCCACAGGTTTCTAAGGAGGCGATGATGAGATGAGACGAAACTCTGGAGTTTCGGGTTTCATGCAGCCGGCCAATCGTCGAAGCTCTGGAGGACGATCACAGGCAAAAGATTTCGGTGTTCTCCACCGATATATGTCTCTTCCGATCGTCGGCTGAGAGGTCTTTGATGCGCTCGGTTGAAATGCTTGTGGTGTCCTAATTCCTGTGGCTGTGTTAGTGCTAGGAGTGTCTTCCTTTCCTTTGGGGAGGCCACCTCGAATTTGAATATTCTCATATCCTTCGAAACTGCAATTTGGAAGATGAGTTCCTTTGCACTTGTTTTTTTTTTAATCTTTTTTGTTCGTGCGCCGAAATGTCGCCACAGCCGCGAGGCGATTGGTTGAGAGAGCTTCCCCAAGTCTTTCATGGTGTGATGCAAAGACAGGATCGATAAGCCTCAGTCAAATGATCATCACATGAAAACCTATGGTGATGAAGTTGTCCGAATGTTTTTTCGGATTATTAGCCGTAAGGAGTTCGGGGATTGACATGATTTCGAGCCCTGTCGCGTGGGGGCCAAACGGCGGGCGTGGGGAAAGGTCAGGAGCACTTATTTACCTGCCCTCTCTCCCCAGAAAATCCAAAAAGAGGAAATTAAAACGCGAAAACGTTAACAAAAGGGGCGAGTATAAATATGTAAGAAAAAAAATTAGGGGAAAATTAGGGCAATTTCTGGCACTCCCAGCGGCCGAGCTCCAGCTTCAGATCTGCCACGATCTGATGCTGTGTTCGTGAAGCTGATAGCTGTCTGATCAGATCTATTTCGTGGTGAGTGGGTTCTTCCCCCTCCTTTTCCCTTTCTCCTTTTTGTTTTTTAATCTTTTTTCGCCACAATTCTTTTTTGCAGAAAACCTAAAAGTGGTTTCGCTTTTCGTCGTTGATTCCCCCCCTCGATTTATGCGGAATTCGTTTACGTATTTTCCCCAAAATCCACCTGGAAAATTCCTGAATTTCAATTTCCGCTGGTTTCTCATCAGATTTCAATCTGAAAACAAAACAGGGGAGAGAAAAAGAACGAATTTTTTGCGGCAAAATTTTGGTTTTTAGGGTTCGTCAGCTCCACTGGGCAATCCCTCGTTTCCCCCCTTGTGATTGAATTCGTATTGCTTCATAAATTTACGTGCTTTTGTATCGAATTACGATTTGTTAGTTCAGTATCGAGTTCGAACGCATTTTTCAGAGGAAATAATAAATAAGAACCTGGGAGGTTTAGGGTTTAATGCCCACCTCGTTTTTTTTCTGGGAACTTGAAGAAGAATGTTTTCTCAAATGCATCACTGTTTCACCTCAGATTCCCAGTTAACGACAATGTCTGGGGCTGAACCGCCATACGGTTCGGGTTTTCCCAGCAACCCGAACCCGGCTTCTCAACAGCAGGTGGCCGGCGACATGCGCTTGAATTATAATGCCGACGGCATGGCCGTCTACAAGCCCGTCGCCGCCGCCGTGTCGCCCACTTACCATCAGCCCGGTAACGGTAGCGTCCACGGTGGTGAAGTCGGGCCTGGGCTCACGGGTGAACCCGTCAAGAGGAAGCGGGGCCGGCCTAGGAAGTATGCGCCCGATGGCGGCTTGACGCCATCCTCGGCACAAGTGCCGGCGGCGGCGGCGGTTCATAGCAGCGGGTTCACTTCTTCCCCAGCGGTTGGGATGGCCTCGGCCACAGCGGGCAAGAAGAAAGGCAGAGGTCGGCCGCCAGGTTCGGGCCGGAAGCAGCAAACGGCAGTAGTTGGTAAATAAAAATTGTCTTTTTCATGATTTCACCTTGGCTAATGTTATATCTCCATGTGAATTGTATTGTGTTCTTTGATCAATGTTCCTTCAGTTTGAATATACAAAGTTTATGGTGGCAATGGACAACTTTTTCCTACAATCCATGTTAACTGTTCAGAATAAAAATCATGCCTTTCTAAGATTAGTTGATCTGCTTGCGATCTTCCAGCTTGATATATGTGTTTTTTATTAGAAATACTCCTTAACGCGATGCTCCACCATGTTGTCAGCAACCTGGCAAAAAAAAAGCATATGATTTTATGGGAGGAACAACATGTCAGAATAAGATATTGTGGCCATCGTTACCTGTCAATGTTACAGTAGCATATTCTCTAGACTTACCCAAAAGAGGATAACGCTTTGTGTAAGCCCCCCACCCCAAAACAGAGGCAAAGACAAAGTTACTAGTTTTTTAGTTCTTTTCTCTTTCTAGTGGGGAACGGTGACTATACATTAAGATTTGATTCGTTTACAAGAATAAGATACTTGATAAACCCCTCTCTCTTAAAAGAGTTTTTAATTATATAAATAAAGAGCATGGGTTTTTGAACTTTCTCTGCCGCATCATTTTGATGGGGAAACTTGCTGACTTGCAGGAGCGGCGATAGTTGGATTTGCCCCCCACATCATTTCAGTCAAAGCTGGAGAGGTGAGCTCGGAATGCTTCATATTCTTTCGATTCCTTCTTGAAATTTTGTAAAGCAGTTTCGGTAAAAGACGCTCTTTCATTCATTGCAATCAGTTTCAACGCGCATGGTCTTATATTAGCTTTCCTTCTCCAGAAAAGTTCAACTGTCATAACCGACCTGCAGTAAAAAAAAAAAAAAAGAAGGCAAATTTAGTTAACCCATCCTGCAAGGATATATGAAGATTTAATTTGTCTCATATCGACTTTGATAAGAAAAAGATTGCTGGTGTGTTATTTTGTTTGAGGATGAGACTGGTCTGGTACATTGGAGTATTTTCAGCTGTAGGATGAAATGCAACAAAATAAATGTACTAAATGCTCTAATGAATATATCCTTAGCGGAAGGAGAGTGGGTTGTGCGGTCTTGGCAAGAGTGGTTACGCTATGTAATGCTACAACAGAAACGAAGAGTGGCAGCAACACGCTCATTTCATCATATTGTAGCATTTTGGATTTACATGCGACTTTTCAAATTTGGCTTCAATAATAGTTTCTATTTGGTTTTCAATGTCAAGGGAGCAACTTCTATGCACTTGGCTGTTTACTGGCTTTGATGCCAAACTACTGGGTGGATTAAAAGCTGGAAACAAGAAGTGTGTCCATAGGTTCAAAGCCGCACAACATGCCCTTTAAGTGGTCTTAGAGCATGGATGATCATCATTCCGCTAGACTTAGCTCCAAAATTTGTGTTAACTGCCTTCAGTGAATATGTCTTGCACTTTTATATGATTTCTGAAGTGATCCAACCATCCTTTTTCACCTCATTCATGCAAGGAGCTCGAATATTAGTGGTGCTCTCCAGTGAAGTTTATATCACCATGATATTGCACTCTATTTTGTGGAAGGACTTGATTGTGTTTATTGCACTTTGCTTCTCAGGACGTGTCAGCAAAAATAATGTCGTTCTCTCATAATGGCCCAAAATCTGTCTGCATTTTGTCTGCAAATGGAGCAATATCTAATGTTACATTATATCAAGCGGCAACTTCTGGTGGAACTGTGACTTACGAGGTTTGTTTTATCTTTGTTCTTTGCATTTCATGTTATATTTTAAATTGCAGGGTTTCACGTTGAAAAAAGCCAGGGATACTCTTTGCCTCAGGCTGTCTGTCTTGAGTTTGAGAGTGCATTAATGAGAAGGGGATATTTAGACATTACATTGAAGAGCAGTAATCTGACCTTCAATTGGTCTCCGCATTATATCACAACCATACAAGATTTATCTTATTAATGGAAGGATATTTTGTTATAAGTTAACAAGTGAGATGATCTGTAATTTTATTGTTGTTTAATTATACTGTCTTAATGAGAATATCCTACTTCTCAGTTCAAATAAATGATTTTGAACCACTTTGTGGTACGAGTCTTGGTGAAATCTTTATTGTTCTGAAAGCCAGGAATGGTTTTTTGAACAACTTATTCGTGCAAAATGTAAACAAATTGAATACATGAATTAAACTTTCTACACATAATGCCATGTAGGGAAGGTTTGAGATTCTCTCTCTTTCGGGCTCCTTCCTTCTATCAGAGAGCGGTGGTCACCGCAGCAGAACTGGGGGCTTGAGCGTGTCTTTGGCTGGTCCAGATGGCTGTGTTTTGGGCGGTGGCGTGGCAGGGCTCCTAACTGCGGCATCCTCAGTCCAGGTCTCTCCTTAGTGGATTATTTTCTTCTTCTGATGTTTGAGAATGCTTCCTTTGATTATATACCATTTTCACACCCTGCTCACAGAATGAAATTGTGTCAGTTGCCTTTCTAAATCTCATGAACTCTCACTTTCAAGTTATCGCCAATGAGTAAACTCTAGCTTTGTGTTACGAGACTGGCGGGATGGCATCTACTGATATTTGCTCAAATCCCCATCAGTTACCTCTCATGTTTTAAGTTTCCCTTTTTATTTTTATTTTTTGTCTGGAATTTCAAAAATCAAGTTTGGCGTGACGTTTGTCCCTTTTTCAGGTAATTGTTGCTAGTTTCACTGCAGAGGGCTTGAAGGAGTCCAGATCTTCAGGCAATCTACCTGATCCTTCATCTGCTCCGTCAAGATATACGCCCGGGCTATCGGCCGGTGAAAGCCCACCATCGCGCGGAACTGTCAGTGGATCGTCCGGCATTGCTCTAAGCCCTCTTAGCCATAGCACAGGAGCCTGCAACAATTCACAAGGCATAGTACATGTGCCCTGGAAATAGACTGGCCGGTTGTCGACAACGGTCATGCTCAGGGGGTGCATTTGGTTTTCTTTCTAGGCGTCGAGAGGCCTCCTTTTTTTCATTTATCATGCTGATACAGAACATTCACCATCCAATAAAACCTGTTCATAAGTATGTAGAGTGCGCACTCTTCAGTCCTGCGGTCCTTGCAAGTTGCATTAAAAGATTCGAGTAAAGATTTCGCATGTAAGTTCTCTGGACGAAGAAGTAAAGTGAGAGAGACAACAGGACATGCTTGCTGTGCTGGGCATTCCAGTTAATTTCGTTTGATTATGTTAAGAGTGCACACTAGTTTCTTCTTCATGCCATGAATTTCTCAAGGTTTTTGTGCTTTTTACATGTAGCAGTCCAACAGTCAGAATTTCTTCGAATATGTCCTTGAATTCATTCGAGACGTTAGCAAAACTCAGATTGGAGAAGAATATGGTCCATGGGTTCCTTTTATTGGAACTATGTTCCTATTTATTTTTGTTTCGAATTGGTCAGGGACTCTTTTACCATGGAAAATCATAGAGTTACCTCATGGGGAGTTAGCCGCACCCACGAATGATATAAATACTACCGTTGCTTTAGCTTTACTCACATTAGTAGCATATTTCTATGCAGGTCTTACCAAAAAAGGATTAAGCTCAAGCAGCATTGATGTTGAGCCGGGTCTGATCTAGGTAGGTGATCAAGATACTGAAACCTGGCTCTCCCTGCGCTGCTGGAGTGTCCACCATCTAAAGTTTTCAGTTCATAGTTCTGGGTATGCAAGATGAATTTGAACTCTCTATATCTGTCTGGAGTAGTTGTAGCTTAGCTTGGGTTTGGATGATAGAGATTTAGGACATTCATTGAGAGCCCTCTTGGACGGACAAGAACGAGGGAGTAAGTTACTTCCTTGCCTCACGACCCCGAGTTGTAGCTTCACCATGCGCGTGCGCTGCGTCTGCCGACAGTAGTAGCGGCAAAGTCGAACATTTCGTGATAGGGTGTGAAGTACCTAGGCAACCATGAGGGGGCAATTCCGTTTGATTGCACTATCGTTCGTTTTTGGCCTTAAGAAGACGCAATAATTGCGAAAAACCTCATGAGATTTGCACCAAGTGTCAAATATAATCCCCACTTTCAAAAGTTACAATATAGAGATAGACTCTCCTACCCATCACTAGCCGGCCGCCGCTACCACGTCCAGCTCCCCGTCGTCCCCGATTGTCTTCTATCTTGGACTCGAGGCCAGCAACGGTCGCCGCCTCAAATCTAGTCCAGGTCGAGGTTCGGGACGACCCGACCATGGGAGACATGCGAGCTCTATCACAAAGCTCACCAGGCTAATGTGGGGCCGAGCTCACGGCTTCCGCGAGCCCATTCTGGTCGAGCTCACGACGAGCACAAGCTCAACCTCCCATGGCCAGCGAGCCGGGAGCTCCACGCGAGAAAGAAGGGATGGTGCCCGGTGGGTCAATGGGGTAAAGGGGCACCGGGCAATGGTGGCATCGGCAGCCAACTTTGAAGGTTTTTGATATGTAAGTGTAAATTGGAAGATATTTTTGCAGCTTTACCAAAGGATTGTACATAGAAGAGTTTCTCCGGCTCGAGATCAGACTGTCACATGTAACGGACTTCGCTATCGCACTCGTTAGATCTAATGGCTCGTATCACTTAGATTTCATTTGGTTTACCATTCTAAATGGGTTTGGGGGCTCTATATTCCCTTTTGGCCAAATGCAAATAGCGTTTGGTTCGTTTTTTGCTCAAGTTAAGAGAAATGCAATTGTATTTATAAAAGCCTGTAACCCAATATAGAATTCGGAGGTACTTTGAAATATAGCATTCGCGGAATGCAAATATATCTTTTTTGTCTTCCAACTTTGCCTTCGCTCAACTTTCGTAATTCCAGAATTGTCCTCGAAAACCCTAACTTGCTGGCAAAGGCCTCAGCTACCGGCGAGCCATCGACGAGCCACCGCCACCATTGTATGAGGCCGCGCGACCTCTTATATGGGATGGAATAATCAAAGGGTACCCACGCTCTAGGCCGTGGAGATCAAAGCCATGGCCCACCCTGAACGACAATGCCTCGGCGGGGCGGCAGAGACTGGCAGGGTCCATCCACAGCCGAGCTCACAGAGCAAACAACCGACGGCAAAATTGTCGCTTTGATCGTCAAAATTGAAAGAGGGTTGTACCAGAAACTCGGGTTTTTATTAGAAATGAAGGTGAAAGAGAGGGATTTTCTATTGCGGGTGACAGATTCTAGTGGGAAGTGGAGAGGTGTGGAGGTGGAGGTTGAGTGGCCATGGAAGGTAAGGCCCGATGGCAGCGACTCCTCCCCGAAGCTCCTTCGAAGAGGGGAAGGTCGAAAGAGAAGAGAGGGAGATTGATTTGTGGAGAGCTTCGTATCAACTTTTGGGCAGCTCAATTGATCTTCGCTTTGAGGAATCGTCGGTCACTTTAGGATCTGGACACAGCAGATCTATCCCCAACGATTCCCTCAAAATTTCAGTTTATTGCAAATAAATGTTTTCAAGAAAACAATTGTACTGAAAAAGAAAAAAAATGTTGTGAGAAAATCGATGTAAGAATCAAAACGATGTCAAGCGATTTAACAAGAAGAGATTAGAAAAACGCTTTATGTGCAAACCGCCAAAACACTGGATGCTAGTGCAAGTCCTGCAAAACCACCCCACACAACTCTAGAAAAACCAACACACAGGAATTTCAAATTCGACGTGAATAACTTTTCATCTAAAAACTTGAGTTTTAAAATAATTAACACGTCCCAATTGCCACTCTAATTAAATATATACATGTATAGTGCTAGGCAAAAAAGACCATACTAAGCCTTAGACCTGTCAAATGGGCGGGTTGGGTCGGGTTTGGATCGGGTCATAAATGGCCCGACCCAAATTGATCCGTTAACCCGTTTATGACCCATTTATGCGCAGTGCAATTTTCTTGACCCATACCCGACCCGATCCATACCTGACACATATCCGACCCAACCCGTATTGCTAAAACACTTCCATATTTAATCCAATATAATTTTTTATGATTTTAAAAAAAATTATATTGCTAATTTGTTGACAATTTTTATAATTTAAAAAATTAATTTTTTTTATTTTTTTCTTTTTCTTTCTTTCTTTTTTTTTTTCACAAATCCTGAAATGGATTTGAGTTTTAGTTTTGAATTAAATATAAATGAGATATTAAAAAATTAACACCTGTTTTTTTTTTTGGTCGGATAACACCCGTTTAATAATACATTATTTGATACAATATTTTTTAATTTTAATTACCGATTATGTAATTCTAGTACCCATAAAGAAGTGCACAAATATAAAATAATAAAGTTAATAATTATAATAATAAATTCATAAAACCAAGTTCTAGGTTCAAAAGCATATCCATTATAGACCTATCAAATGGGTCCAAAATCCACTCATGTTTGCTTAAATGGATCGATAATGGGTTATTCCTTTTTTACAAGTCAGCCATAATGGGCTTTAAAAATAAGAAGGCCAAAATATATGGGTCTTAAATGAGTATATTTTGAACCCATTTACAATCCAATTTCTTTTCGATGAAAAGTCCGGCTCATGATCTCACTTCACGATCTTCTCTCCCTCTTCTTCGCTTATCGCTTCGATGAATCTAATTCGCAGTCACCTCCGCCGCTATTGCCCACTTCACGCCGCCCTTCTCTGGTGGCCGAGGTTCTGAATTTTAGTAACATTGAAAGGGAATTGGATGTTTCGACAACTAAAAGACCGACACAGAAAAATAAACACAAATCATCTTCATTGGTTCAAGAGGAGTCATAAAGACATTTAAATGCCCACTTGTTCTCTCGCCGCACCTCTTCCTCCTCCTGGTGTGAAGGCATTCTTGAATCATTCATCCACTGCTAGATTATGGCCACCATGGTGACAAACTATGCAAGTTTTGCAATGATCAATCAAATATCAGAAAGGTGTATCAAATAGGTGTATCATAGCAACATCACAATTAGCATACTCAATATTCCTCGCTTGTATCAGACAAACCAAAAAGAACGTGTTCCAACTATTTCATGCACATACATAAACAGAGCAAGCGAGAGCACTAGTTTGATGCACGGATATAGAAAAACAGAGCAGTTAGACGATAATAAAATTGAAAAGCCACATAACCAAATGCGTGCTTTCCCAAAACACATAAGATCAGAGAATAAACATGCATCCGCAATGGGATAGATTTTACCCTCAATGGAATGAAGCTTCTCAAGCTGCAAGATATATTCTAGATTCTAGAACCCATTCAAACTAACAAGAAAGCAACAAGCACTAATTCTGTCAGCCTGCACCCTAAAGTAGCTTGAAATACATAGCAAATACCATTTCATGGCTCACATCTAGATGAAACGAGAAAAATTAGTCAATTCAAACAACCAAATACAGCATTAAGACGGTGAGTGGATGCAACAACAAATGAGACTTTCGGTGTAAAGTCAAATATGAGAGGAGCATTTAAAACTAAAGAAAACTACGAAAAAATAGCTCATCCAATGGAGGTTTTCCAGAAAATCCAGAAACCCAGTCTACCAACAATCGGAGAAGAAAGATATACGTAAAAACTATACGGGAGAGCATATTTCTAAGGTCCAGCTCTACTCACATATTCAGACAGCAGCACCAATAGAAATAGACAGGCAAACAAGATCTGACAACTAATTTCGTATAATAATGTAGCATGCAATTGTAAGATGTGATAAAGAAGCACGTTCAGACATAAGTAGAGCAGATGGTTATGGACAAACCTTATGAAAATTGAATACCAAGTCTAGTTCACAGACATTGCCGAAGAAGTGATTCAAAATCTCTACAATAAGTGAATGCACTCCAAGCATGCAAGCTCGTTATCCGTTATGTCAACATAGAGCAAGAAAAACAGTCCAGCATATCGCCCGTAAATAACCTTGTGTGTTCGAAACTGCAATTGAAAATCTCAATTAGACCTTCATGTGCAGCTAGCAAACATGAAACTTTCGAGCACCCGAAAAGACACTTAAAAGTGATACTGTAAAATCAAGACAATGGAATCAACGTCAATGCTGTTTGAGCTCCAATCTCCACGGTGGAGATGAAGGTGAGTGGCCATGAAAGGTAAGCTCCGCCATCTGCAACGTCACTCTCCTCTTGGTTTGATTTTTCGTTTTTCAGTTATTTCCCCTTGCAGTCGGTATTCAGATTTTGTTTCGGACAAAAATACTCAATTTCAAACTGCCGAAAACATCAAGTGCTCTCCGGCCGGCTGGCAAGTTGACGCCCTACCACTTAACCACTTCCTACTATTACTCGAAATTTTCACGTCGGCATTTCACTCTAACAAAAAATCACGACAGACATGGGGTAGAACAAGACGAGTCGCGATCGATCATCGGATGGATGGACGGATGATCGACCGATGCAAGGCAGGGGCACCGACGACCTCAAGTCGCCATCCCAAGGAAGATGGTTGTGGCTGGACAGGTCACGAGGGCCGCAACAGAACACGTGAGGGGTAGTCTCCAACAGCATCACCATGGTGGCGCCCCCCCCCAGCCCCGCCACCGCCAGGAAGAAGAAGAAGAAGAAGAAGAAGAGTGGGGGAAGAGCGCCGGGACAGCTGCCAAGAGCTGGATGGGCCCCCTTCTTTTCCGCCCTCCCAACGTAGAAAATATTGAATAGGACTGTCTCGCCACGTCATCGCTGAGACAGTCCACCGGGAATTCGACACGTTGCCTTCGGGACCCCTGATTATCAACCGACGCGACAACAACCGACACATGTCCCCCCCGCGACCCTGTCCCACCTAGCTAGCCCCCCAACACCTGTCGCATTAACTGCCCCTTTTATTTCCGTTGTCTGTCCGGGTTGGACTAGAGTGGCGCTTCTCCTTTGTCTTTGGCGATAATAACACGAAAAATCTCGGATAAGATACAATTACGATAAATTTATTACAAATTAATTATTGAGCCACCAAAAGTTTCGAATAGATACACATGTGGATTTCCACTTTTGACTTGTCACGTCAATTTGGTTATTGCCCGATGTCATCTACCTCAACAATTTCACGGTAAAACTTGATGGAAGTTAACGGATGGTAAATATGACACGAGTATACCTGTTTGGGGGTTTTTTGTAACCCAAAAATTAGTTCGAAGTAAATTTATCACAGGTGTACCAATTTGAGATTTTCGTGATATTAACCCTTTTTTTTTTCCGTTTTCTCTTTCGTTTTCTTTTTAAATCGATTTTGTTTATTTCTTCGGTCCATTGAAATACAAATGAAAACTCGAATTAATGGATACGTTGTAACCCTAAAAAGATCGAATGAATAATTATTTGTTTAGTTTAAATGCAGCGAATCCCGTATTTGAATCACGGCATTTCTTATTTTGTATAAATTTTAGGAATTCGAGCTCATATATACGAACGAAACTTTACTCGATATACTTATCCGTACCCACTGTACCGATGAAAACGAGCAAAATGAAACGAAATTTGAATACTAAAAGGGAGAAAAATGGAAGAGCATTTCAAATTCGGGTTCGAGTTCGAGATTTTTTTGGACAAGAAAGATTACCAAATTGGAGACTAATGGATTGCTAATGTATTTTCAATGTAATGATGCAAGACTATGAAGACATAATTGAACTTGCAAAATCATGATCAAGAGCAGTGGGGACTAAACCGTTCGCAAACGAGAAAGGGGATTAAATTGTGATCTTGCAACAAGAAAGGGTGAAATGTTTGTACACTTCCCTGCTTCCATGGGGTTTTTTCACGTTAAAATTTAAAAATTATTCCGTATTAAAATAAATTTATGTAATATTATTTTTCAATTTACGTGCCAATATGTATTTGTTGAGATAATTTCAGGTGTTTGTGAGCAAGAAAAGCCAATATAAGTGGATAGCAAGAATCGATGAAAATAAAAAGGAAAAGTCAATTTTTACTTTAAAAAATACCATAAATTTAGAAGTAACAAAGGTTTTAAACTGATCCACCTATTTAGAAATGTATATTTTCTATAAGTGCTTGGAAATATTTGAAAGTAACAAAGTGTAGGCTTTAATTATGGGAAAATCTAAAAAGCCGTCCTTAAATTCGACACCGTATATTGATTTTTATCCTCCACTTTCGAAAGAGACAATTTGCATCATAAATTTTAATATCACACTTCTAATTACATCTGCGATTCACCATATTGCCATTTTCTTTCCAAAATTACCCTCATCACTTTCACCGCCCATCACCCATCCAAAAAAAACCAAAAAACCTTCAAACACAATATCGCTATCCTTTGCTCTCTAGCCCCAACGGTCACTCTTCTTGTTGGGATGTCTTCATCCTCCGCCATCGTCCCTGTGCATTGTCATCGCCATCATAGCGCGTCCTGAACTCTGATAGCGTCCAGAGAACACCAACATACGCGTCTCTTGGTGCTCAAATAGAGGAATGGAACTTCCCCTCCCTGTTGCTCTGCTTGCCGTCGAGCTCAACTTTGAGATCTCAACCAAGCCTGACGAACTCGCTCGACCTTCGTCACGGTGTGGAACTTGAGCCCCAAATGTGGTGACTCGAGCTCCACCGCAAGGTCGAGCACAAGCTCGAGCTAGGCCCGGGGGGGCGGGGGCATCGTTGGCAAGGGAAGCGGATGATCCGGTGTTGTTGTCGACAGGAGAGAGATCAAATGAGAAAGAGAGAGAAAAGATGAGAGTGATTAGGATTTGAGATTGATTAAGGGTAGTTTAGTCTTTTTATCACGCATCATGTCGGGAGATGCAAATTGTACATATATTAAACTGAGGATGCAAATCGATAAAGAGATGAAATGTCAATATGGTTTTTAAAAACTTTCCCTTTAATTATTAATACGTTATTGATAGAAGAAAGTCTATTATCATAACTTCAATGAAAAATTATACAACGAGCTTTTTCGAACTTATAAATGATTAAAAAGTATATGGGATTGTCCAAAACATCAATCCTATGAAAAGTTTCTCATGTGATTTTGGCCTATACTGAATTAGTTTTCCATATTTTTTACCAAAAGATAGTTTCGCGGTAAACGGAAATGTTATGACAAATGCATAAACTACAATGAAATTAAAACTGAGAAGAATAAAAGAACAAGCAAATTTACGTGGAAAACCTTGGCGGGAAAAATCATGGGAAGAGGGAAAGTAAAATTCACTATGGAAATTCAAGAATCGCAAAATATGGCTCGAAAAACATGAGAACTTTTTCTGTCTCTGCTCAAAACCTAAGTACTTGAGAAAAACAATATTTATACCGCTCTGTGCCCCGACATCCCTACACCTCCGTTGAGGATTAGGCCCGAGCCATCCTCTACCAACACTAAACCTCCATTTTTTTTTTTCTCAAGTTGGGTCACTATAAATTTCAATTCGAGCACCAAAACTCAATTCGGATCGAATACCCGAAATAGAATTCAAACACGAATCCAACATCAAAAAAGAACAAGACCAAATCTTGATTATACCCCCCAATCTTCTGCTAGCCAGCTTCTCCAATGGCCGACTGATTTCCAAGGAAAAAGGCGTTTTCTCTCTCTCTCTCTCGAGATCTCTCGTATTTTAAGACAGGGTCATATGGGCATGTTTACCCCCCCAATGGCTTTCGTGTCCTTTATTATTTGGGTCCCTCCTAGGACATACATATACGCCGAATGCCTCTCGTGCAATGGATCAAATCATGTCCCCTATCATTTAATCCTATGCTCCTCCCCTTCTTTACTTTAATCCCAACTTTCCCTCAATTCTCATTTTCTAATATGCCTCCCGTTCGTGCACCTAATTATATCTCCGGTCTTATTAAATAGCGCCCACTATATCCGTTAACGGTGCATTTATTGCATCGAAAACTCCATGATAAAGGAATACATCTTTCATGGAAATCGCTTTCAAAGAAATTGTTTGGTAGTTTAGGGAAAGTGATTTCCTTCTTGTTAGAAGGAGAAATCGTTTTCCCCAGGTCTAAACTTATTATTTTCAATCCATGGAAAACGTTTTCTGTACATCGATTAGTTTTACGTCATCCAAATGCCGGAAGTCGGAAAATAGATTTTCCGGAAACAATTTTCCTTCAAACAAACGGACCCTGAGCATAAACTTAACGAATGAAATATTTCGATAGTGTATTGGATTACACATGACACGAAGAAGACAGAGCATTGGAAATAGCTATCTCTCCTTAAATGGGAGCTTAACAAGTGTTTCACGATACTTGTTAAGAAATGTTCTTACATCTTTCTCGTCCAATTTCTGCTCTAATTATAGGTTTTCCACGTCGGTGGGCCCTCTTTCTCTACCTTCTCCTCGTCATTTGAGCAAAATTATGATCCAGCTATGATATATTGTCATGTCGGTATAAGGAAAAATATTGGGTTTACGAGTACCGAATGACATGCATGTTTAATCATAATTTATTCGATTTTTTCAGGATAATCATGTCATTGGAAAATATCTTTTGATAAAGAAAAATGGATAAATGTGTAGTTATTTGCTCAATAAGTGCTTTGATTGCACTTTCTAAGAAAATCCTTAACATAATCTTAAAGCTAGTTTTGAAATATTATCGACTATCCTTAAATACTCCATGCATACCACATTTGTTAGCACACAACAAGCGACAAGAAAGAGAAACTGAGTGATAAAATAGTTCATGTCAACCCCGATTACGGATCGTTCTTCCCAAAAAGACGTGACCTATTGGGGACGGGATCAACAATGTATAAATAAGATATTACTTGACACTCTACCTCGCATGCAAGCAAGTTCCCCATAACAACATAAGGCTAGGTTCTATGTGATGATAGACGTAGCTCTTGTTTTTGAGTAAGCAATTGGTGAACCCAATATCACGAGCAATGAGCTTGAGAGGCAATGCCGGAATTTAATTAATCAGTTGACCTATGCACCGATATTATAATAACAGCCACATGGCTTTTTTTTTTTTTAAAAAAAGCTTAAATTGTCAGGAAACATGTTAATAACGCACGTAGAACTCGTTACCCCGACACTCAAAATTTATTTTACTTTTCGGATTGTATTTTATATGACTTCTTTTTTTCATACATAATGACGTTTTACAAAACTTGTTGGATTTCTACAAGTCTCGTTCGCTAATCGAACATAGATAATGTGGTTTTAGGATATGGTCAATTGTAACACTAATGTCAAATTTATTGCACTAATCGGTTGCGAGCAGCTAAGCCACACTCTTAGTAAATAATGAAAATCTAAGGATGTTCGAGATGTGAGAAGCACACGACAACCATGGAGCAATTGATTACCCGTTAATTGATTTGGCCCTTCCGATAAAAATAATAAAATAAAAATTGATTCGGCCTCCACGTCCACACTGGACGAATCTTTCTCGTTTGTCGGGTTGTACACTTTCTTGATTTTTCCAATTTATACCCAATTTCTAGAGAAATTATAATTTAAATTGGACTACTACTATTGGCGATCGAAATTGGAAGCCTATGTTTTTGTCACGATTATTGACGTTGACCTTCATAGTCATTTTCGGTCGAGGGCCAAGCTTCCATCCTTTAGTGGCTCAAGTAATTTTTTTTTATAGAAAAAGACCCGTACATTTAATAAACTAAACTACAAGTCTTGACCCGAAAAATGAAAAAAATAATTTTTTTAAAAATGATCGCTTGTATCGTTTGAAATTATTAGCCAATGAAAAATATTTTAATCATCAACAACAATTTATATCTAAATATTTTCGTGGACGATAAAAATATAATTCGTTAATTTATTTTTGTAAGAGTTATAAACGATCATTTTTAAGAAAATGTATTATGATAGGAGAAAGTGTCAGAAAAGTTCTAAACCTATTGCATTGATGCCAATTTAATTCAAAACATTTTAATTATGCCAATTTAGTTATAAACTTTTTGATTTAGTTCTAATGCAGTTAGCCCGGTTAACTTTAGAAAGATATTGCTAACATGAATGCCAGTAGATCTACATGGCACCGCCTGTGCTGACGTGGCCACAGGCGATGGCCGATCGGGTTGGCCTCACCTAGGCGAGGGTCGCCGTCGCCCGCCGTAGTCGAGGGCGAGCCCCGACGAGGGCTCCCCTCGCCAGATCAGGAAAGGCCGGATCTCGCATAGTCCGGCCGACGTGCACGTCAGCAAATATCAGGTTTGAATTGGCTTCATGTCGAAATGTTTACGATTAAATTGGCACGATTACAAAGTCTAACATTAAATCGACACAAAACGCAATAAATTTAATACTTTTCTAACGCTTTTTAACTGTTACGATATAAAGGTAATAACGACTATCAATCTACCGATGCTTTTTCACCCTTTGTCGTTTTCCGTTTTTCCGCCCAAAAAATAGTGAAGAAAAGAAAGAATCCGGAAAGGCGGCAGGCGGCAGGCGGGGCTAGGCCAGTGGCAGTTTCGTGAATCGAGGGGACCAGCCGGGGGCATATCCGGGTTTAGCCAACCCCGACGCATAGGTGGAGCAGATCTTCTCGTTGATACTTGATAGCCCCGTTTTCACGTAATTTCATTATCGGAAAATTAATTAAATTTCCCCAATCCCCCTATTTTATTTAATTAATTTAATTTATCAGACACCCCCCTTAAAAAAAGAAAGGAAGAAATAATTCGCGTCGATAGAAATAAAAAATTTATAATTCCACCATTATATACGAGCAGATCGCACACGGTTTTCTCCTCATTTGCAAATATAGAAACCCAGGAAGAGAAGAAGAAGAAGAAGAAGAAGAAGACGACGACGACGAAGCAGAAGAAGGAGAAGAAGGATTCGGTTCGGCATGGGAGCAGCTGGATTCCTCCGGCGACGGGAGACGGTGCTCTGCTTCTCCGCCCAGCCGCCGCCGCCGGCTCCTCTTGGAACCGCATGAAACCGTCCGGCGGCCGCCGAATTCCGCGTCCGGATTGCTCGAGGTCCCGAGCCGGAATCGCTCCGATCATCTTTTCTGGCGGCGGCGGTGTCTCTCTTCGTCGTGCTTCGGTTTCGTCGAGGGCGATGGTTCCGGTTCCTTCGTGTCCGAAAATGGGAATGTCGCGCCGCGGCGGAGATCTTCCGGTGACCGTCGGTTGATTGCTGCTGTTCTCTCTTTATATTTTGATGTGGATTTGGCTCTCGCTGTTTCGTTCTTGCGCTTGCGCTTGCTTCTTGGAAAGGGAGATAGATTGCGGGTCGGTATTGGCTAATTGAGGTGCTGCGGGAATTGAGTTTTTGCGGAGGGGGGTTTGAGGAGGGAGGGAAGGGGAGAGGAAGGAAGGGAAGGGAAGGAAAGGAAAGGAATGGAGGCGTTGAGCTTGGGGTCGGTGGATGATGTGGTGGCGGAGATCATGAGGATCCACAGATCTCTGCCGACGAGGCCTTCCATCGACGAGGCCGAGGCGGCCAAGGCGCTGATCCGCAATGTGGAGAAGGAAGACCAGGCTAGGCTGGACGCGATCGCGAGGCAGACCAAGGGCCTCGACGTGCCCGAGGAGTTGTTCATGATCCTGCAGGAGATGCAGAGGAACCTGGTCTATTACCTGGGCAAAGAGCAGAAGAAGGACGCCGTGAGATTGCTCGACCTCGAGAATGTCCACGCGCTGTTCGACGAGTACATCCAGAGAGCCTCCGAGTGCCTCTCGTCCGGGTCGGATTCTTACAAGAGGAGTTACTCGAATGGCTCTGCTTCTAAGGTTTCGAGCGGCGGCGCGAGCGTCGCTGCTGCCGGCCCTGCTTCTGTCTCCGCGGTACCGAAGAAGTCATTTCCGGGTGCTTCGGCAAGCTCCTATTACTCAGAGAAGGACCCCGCGAAGAGCGGTGATTTGTTCACTAGAGACGATAGTTATGTGAAGAAGACGAAGTCCTCATTCTATTCCGATGGTATTGGTGTTAGCCCTGGTGGTTTATCAACCCCACAGATACAGGATTCAACTTTGAAGGCCGGAAGTGCTTTAGGTATGCTTATCTCCCTTCTTTTTTCTGCTTTTGCCTTTGTGGGTTTGATAATTCTTCCTCTTGCGCGACTGCAAGATGATAGATGCAACTTTATAGTTTCTATAGGTTATGCCTATATATAGCCGTGTCCAATGTTGATGGGTTACAGTCTGTCTTTCTTTTGGAGCTTTTTCCGTGGTTTTATGTGTACTATCGTTTTGAAATCTGCTAGTGTTCACGTTTTGTGCGTACACAGGTCAAGATGGTGAGAAATTGAGCTTGATAAAGCTTGCCAGTTTGATTGAAGTCTCTGCAAAGAAAGGGACTCAAGAACTCAATCTCCAGAACAAGTTGATGGACCAAATCGAATGGCTTCCCGATTCAATTGGAAAACTATCAAGTTTGGCCAGCATGGATCTATCGGAAAATCGATTACTAGCCCTACCTGCAACTATCGGAGGCCTCTCATCTTTAACGAAGTTGGATTTGCATGCTAACAGAATTGCTGAACTCCCAGAATCCATGGGTGATCTCCTCAACTTAGTCTTTTTAGATCTGAGTGCAAACCAACTGGCATCCCTGCCTGCCATTTTCAGCAGACTGGTGCGTCTTCAGGAACTTAACTTGAGCTCAAATAGACTGTCTGCACTTCCTGAGTCGATAGGATCTCTTGTTAGCCTGAAGATCTTGAATGTGGAGACCAATGACATTGATGAGCTGCCACATACTATTGGCCGCTGCTCTTCACTTAGGGAGCTCCTTGCAGATTATAACCGGCTGAAGGCCCTTCCGGAAGCAGTAGGGAAGATTAGTACCTTGGAGGTGTTGTCAGTTCGATATAATAATATCAGACAGTTGCCTACTACAATGGCATCTCTATCAAATTTGAAGGAGCTTAATGTAAGCTTTAATGAGCTTGAGTCTGTGCCTGAGAGCTTATGTTTTGCTACCACGCTCGTCAAGTTGAATATAGGCAACAATTTTGCTGATCTGAGATCCCTTCCGAGGTCTATTGGGAACCTTGAAATGCTCGAAGAATTAGATATCAGCAATAACCAAATACGGGTCCTTCCAGAATCATTTAGGATGTTAACGCGGTTGCGTGTCTTGCGTGTGGAAGAAAATCCTTTAGAAGTTCCACCAAGATATATTGCAGAAAAGGGTGCACAGGTATATATGTGTTCTTTCTTCAGCTACTGCATTTTGAATTCTTTAAGATTATATTTTGACACGATTTGATGTAAACTGGTTCTCCTCAGGCTGTTGTTCAATACATGGAGGAACTTGCTGAGAAAAGGAACCAACCACAACCTGTGAAGCAGAAGAAAGGCTGGGCTCATATATGCTTTTTTTCAAGGTCTAATAAAAGAAAGCGAGGTGGAGCTGATTATGTGAAAACCTGATTGTGGACGAGCATACAGGGATGAAATGACTGGTTAGTATTTAGTATCTCATTTTAACTCTGTCGAAACTACACTAAATGTTGTTCTTTTTCTATTATCGAAATAATATCATCGGCATTGACCAACACGATGGATCTTTTGTTATCGTCTTACATAGGAGAATAAGAACTCAAGCCACAAAAGGGAAGTGGTCTTCTTCCCCAAATCAGTTATGACTTTCCTTTTGTATATTTAGCTGGAAATTTGTTCCCTTCTGCTATGTTAGAATCATATGTAGTTGACTTTGGGAATTAGCAAGTTGGTTAGACGCTGAGACTTTGCATCTTTGTGTGAGGCTTCAGTTGGATTTTACTCTGCATAATATATTGGGTTACGACTTTCCTTTTGTACATCTAGCTGGAAATTCTTTTTCCCCTCCTGCCATGTAGGAACCATATGTAAATGAGCTGGGGAATCAGCAACTTGGTTTGATGACTATGCATCTTTTTATGGGTTTTCAGTTAGATTTTGCTCTTTGATAACCTATTGGTTTAGGCCATGAGGAAGTAATTTTTCTTTAACCTCTATGATAACCTTTCATCAGCTGTGAAAGGTGCTTTAAGTTTGGTGTAGAAGAAAAAAATCATTGCCCCATTTAACCGAATCTGGAGGGGCAAGTGGGTTTGGAATAGTGTTTGGGACTTGTGTCCCATGAAGTGTGAGGCCCATGGTTTGGTTTCACCTCGGTGGAACTTTTTGAGATCAGGTTTTAGACGAAGCGCCTTTTTTTCGAGTCTCTTCCTCCTGATGGGCATGGCTCGCCTCTTACCAGACTAAGAAAATGGACTTATTTGATGTCTGAGTGCTAATCTAAAAGATCACCCGACTGAAAGACAAAAGGGTAAACGACAGAATCTAATCATCTAATCTACTCATTGTGCCAATTTTAAGCATCCGGCTCGATATGATTATGGAAGCTCTTTTTCTTTTGACAGGAAGATGATTGTGTTAGGTAGTAACTGTGTTATTCTTTATTACGAAGATACGTCAGCGTTCCCTGAAACCATTTTTATTTCATCGTGTGACCAGGTATCGGCGGCATTTTCAGGTATGACGAGCGCATTTTGGAAAGCCGACCCTCCCCATATTCTGACACGGCGCGACTCTTTTAAACTATGGCTTGCATGACTCCCTTCTGAAAACTGTAGATTTCGTCCTCACCCCCCAAAGTTTTCCTCCCATTTTCGACTCAAAAAGATTTACAAATTTTTCTGCTTTCCCAACTGTTGTGAATCAACTGTGTATTCATCCTTTGTTCTTGGACTTAGCAAAAATGAGGTGTATACAATCAGCCGGCGCATAAACGGAAGACGACCATCATGTTGTTGTATATACAAAGACTCGGGTACCTGTCTCTTTCTTTACCCCTCTCTCTTTTGTCCAATGAGATCACTCCGACATCACCCGCGGCAGCATAGCCTTGAATCTATCAGCACCGCTGGTAATGTCCGAGCAAAAGCTGAAGCCGTGGGACCGCCGCTCCGCTGATTTTGGCGTTTTCTGTCTCGTGTCGTGGCAGCGGCGGCGGCTCTGAAATTGGAGATCCCAATGCCCAAAGTCCTCCAATACACGGTCAGTGAGAAAAGAGAGGGTCTTCTTACCTGAAAGTCTTTGAGATGCGAGGTTGCGTTAGTTGAATGATTAACTTTCTCTCAGCTTCTGTATCTTTGCTTTGAGTTTTGTACTTTTGTTCTCTCTTTGAATAATAATGTATAGCAGGTGGGCCATGAGAATGGGGAGGATGAACATGCAAGCGTCTCACGTGGAGTGATAAGACGGAATGAATCTTGATATGCACAGATTGAGTTGCGCCTTATACGCCGCGCCTCGCATGAACTGATAAAAGGGAAACAAGGAATCGATCATCGATGGTTCAATCGGTTCTTGGTTGATTCGAAGTCTTCCGTCTTCTGTGAACAATTATCCGTTGCGGTTCTTGTCTCGATCAAATTAGCTGTGAGTTTCTTCCTTTCTGGACGCCGCCGTGTCTTGCATTCCGCGCTCGTCGCAGACTACCAATCACCGATCGCCATCTTCGGAGCTCTTTTAAGTTAGGCTCGATTACCGCTTCACGCGAACCCTGTGATCTTCTCGATCCCCACACGATGCAATCAAACAACTTCCTTTTTTCTTTTGACAATCAATATTTGGCAACTCAGGACCATCTCGTGATCATCTTTTAACACAACACCTCATCAGCGCGCTCAGCCTTATCTGCACCCTCGTTTCTTTCCAGTCTTCCTTTACAGCTCGCCGGGGCATCTATCAAATCATATCTTATTACCAAAAAGATAAATCGATTTTCAAAATTCTGACCACACATTGCCCCGAGAATCGTAATGTATCGAAAATTATAAATCGTTTTATTTGGTTGTTTAACACGTATGAGGGGATAATTAATAATCCAGATATCTTTTGGTGTATGTACTCGACATAATTATGGTAAAAAAAACACAGTCACCAACTCTTTTTTTCTCCTGAAAAAAGGGGAAAAAAGAAAATTGAGTTTTTTTTTGGATATTATGCAAAAAAGCGTCACCTGGACTCTCGATAAGTACCTAAAGATCAACCTTTGAAAAAAGATTAGGGTGGTTGGCAATTGGCTGGCCGTTTGACGGCCGTTTGCCAGTGTAATTAATTAGGGCGCGAATGATAACCATTTTATTTTTTTATTTTTTTATTTTTTTATTTTTTTGTTCTTGGGAATAGGTTTGGAACAAAAATTTGTTTGGTAACGCAATTTCATTTTTCAATTTCTGGAATAAATTTATAGTTCAGAAATAGGTTTAGAACATAAATTAGAAGCAAAAAAAATATACTTTTCTATTTCTGAAACAAAAATGAGAAATAAACTCTTCTCATCGCTCGGTCTCGCCATTAGCCGATTGCCCACCCACAGCCCACCGTTGCCACCGGTCACCTTCCGCCGCCGCCGGCCGCGTCCCACCACCGTTGTCCATTGCCGTTCGCCGCCGTCCTTCGCCGCCGGCTGCGTCCCACCGCCTCCTAATGCCGTCCGCCACCACCCGCCGGCGGCCATCCACCGTCGCCTGCCATTTGCCGTCCTCTGCCACCGCCCAACGCCGTCCGCCTCCCACCATTGGCCGCTGCTGTCCACCGCCGTTCACCACCGCCCGCCGGCCACCTTCTGTCGTCCTTCGCCGGTCGCCTCCTCTCGTCCTCCCACTGTCGGCCGCTGCCCGCTAGCCAACTCCCACCACCGTCCTTCGTCGTCGGCCGCCGTCTTTAGTCTTCCGCCAGTGCGCGACGCCGGCCATCTCCCATCGTCGGCCGCCACCCACTGGCTACCTCCCGCCACCGTCCTCCGTCGGCGGCATCCTGCCATTGTCCTCCGCCGGCGCCCATCATCATCCGCCGCCACCCAACACCGACCCACTCCCACCACCGTCTTCCTCCGCCGGCCACCGTCGCGTGACGCAGGTCGCCTCCCACCATTGGCCGCCGCCCTCTCACCACTGTCCTCCGCCGCCGCCCATCATCATCTGTCGCCACCCAACACCGGCCACCTCCCGCCACCGCCCGCCGGCCGCTGGAGAGGAAGAAATTTTGTGTCGTTGTCAAACGAATTCTTTTTCAGGAATAGAAATTTTGTGTCATTATCAAACTGGTATTTTGGCAAAGAAACTCGTCCATAGAATAATAATAGAAAAATTGATTTCTAGAACATAATGGTTATCATTCGCGCCCTTACAGGCCATGAAAATTGTCTGCTTAGTGGGAAAATCACACATCAATCACCCAAGCAAGACGACTTATAGAATAGCTAGCCATATCGGCTCGCATTGGCGGTCGGATAGGTAGTAGCCACGCGCTCGATTCTTGCCTATTCGATGGCGATCGCGTGGAGCTTCCCTTACGATGACGAACGGTGAACTTAACAAAAATTTCATAATTAAAGTAGATTACTCGCCCGATTAATTAGGGATGATTGCCCTAAAGAATTCATTTTGACTTCCCACCATCATCAGGATCCCACCAAGTTGTTGGTGGGGGAAGGGAAGCTTCGCGTCGATGGCGAGATGTATGGACATTGACAGAAACCTAGATTCAGATGGGTGCTCACGTGTACTGGTGTCGAACCCTCGGTCCACATTCCCCAATAGCACTAAGTTACGTGACACTACTGCCTCCTCCTACCTTATTCTAATCCTTCGTTGACATTTCGGGGACAAAGTATGAACTTGAGCAATGATATTTAGATTAGTGAAAAATTGGCTAATGTTGGATTCGATTGAGCCCGAGACTTTATAGTTTGTCGGTAAGATAAGGAAAAATGACATAAATGGTCCCTGAATTTTGGTCGAATGTGCAATGTGGTTCTTAAACTTTCGATTTGTTTAACATGGTCTCTAGACTATTCGTACATGTTCAGTTTAGTCCCCGAATCATATGAAAATGTTCAATGTTGTCCCTAAGTTTGAATTAAAGAAAGGATGTTATTGAACATTTTCATATAGTTTGGAGATTAAATTGAAGATATATCAAAAGTTTGAGGACCACATTCTCATTACATATTAAACTAAAATTTATGATCATATTAATTGAATTAAAAGTTTACGAATCATACTGTACATTACCACCCGCCTGGGTGGCGCTGCTGGAAAGGGCACTCTTCCTCTCGCAAAGGTTGGGTGTTCGAATCCCGGGCGTTGCGGGGTGACTTACGGTGCACGTGTGTGGTGGGTAGCACGTGTCGCCAGGGGTTTACCTCCCATTTGGCTCGGCCGTGCGGGGGTTCCCTGGGTTACCAAAAAAAAATCATACTATACATTGAATCAAAATTTAGTGATTATTTATATTATACATTGAATCAAAATTTAGTGATTATTTGTATTATTATCCCGTGAGATAACTTACTGCCGACATAAATGATTATTAGTCGAATCGGAAAGTTGACTATCTCGTGTTAATGGCGTCGTAAACGAAAAAGGCAAAAAAAAAAAGCAAAACTTTAGTGCCGCTAGACAGCAAAGTCGAAGGGCACTGGGGGTCTGTTTGAAACGACCTTTTTTCTTTTGTATTTTATTTGTTAACCTTTGAGATTTGACATTAGTTTAATACTGGCACTAAGCAAAAGCTGAGCTGGTCCAGCATGATTTGATACTTTTGTTCGGTAAATGTCTATCTTCTTCTTCTTCGTTCATTGTGCTTTTGGAGATTTTTATCGAATTTTATCCAAGGATTTGTTTGTATGCTTTATTTCACACACGCTTTAGGTGGGAAATGAATGATTCGTTTTGAGTTGTGCCGTGTCTTATCGTTTTTCGATGCATATCTAACCATCGTTCATTCCCATTGTGAATGCTAGGTAGCCCCGTGCATCAACACCCTTCAAATAATTTGTACAAGCGCTCGTTATTGTCCGTGGTTGGGGGCCCCCATCCCATTTCAGGCGGAAGAGGTCTCTCCTAGCTCTGAGGAAAAGCCCTTGACCTTAGGCCCCTCACGCTGTCCGTCCGTCCGTGGAGACTGCCACGGGTTGCTCTCCCCTCGTTGAGCAGGCCCGATGATTCGGTACCATACGCGATGACGGTCAAGTAAATATTCTCTAAACAACCTCATCGATGCATCACTCACATGAAAAGTCTCTCATGCTAAAAGGAAAGCAAAGCGTTTGCATTGCTGTGTCACATTTGAATTTTCATTGGTGATTTTCCAGCTCGGTTGCGATTACCTTGCTTTGTTTTGCTCGTCAGTCGACACAGCACAAGGTGTGGCATGTCACGTAGTGTCTCTCATAGGTTAGTTTCTACAGTTAATCACCGGGTGAACAGATAGCACAAATCCACACTCGTGGCGACGGTCATGGTCGTGCAATCAAACCACGTTTTGTGTTGTGTCGATTTAGTCAGTGCCGTGAAGACATTGCGCGTGGTGCCGATGCTGCTCTCAGTCCCAAGAAGCTCTTCACATTCATGCAGGGCCCCAGCTTAGCCCATTGGGCCTATAGTTTTTGGCTGCTTGGGCCATGCCCAATTTAGTGGTCTGGTCAAGGTTTGGGACAATGGTAAAAACGATCCCTTTTATCAACGTCATTCCCGAAATTTTTTTAATTTTGTTTCAATTTCAATCGTTGTGATCCCTTGATCAAACACTCCGGCCAAAAAAGTAATCACACATCATTTGATCGAACACGAGCCCGTCCTTCCATCGATTTGATCTTATTATCATCTAACTAGCAATCTAGCGCGGTAAGACCCACATCCATTGACGTGACATGACGTAACGTGATTGTCGCGGTAAATATAACGATTTAACAACCAAAGAAAACGTCAGCAATTCCCTTTAGCAAAATCAAAGGAAGGACTAAACCTTGCCATTTTAGAAGAGTATAAGCACCAAAATGACTAAAGCGAAAGTTCAAAGACAGAAATTATATGTTGTGTAAAAGGTAATTATTATAACAAGGTTTTGTACATTTTTCTTATAATAACAACGATAATTTGCTCATTCATCCAAAAAAAAAAATTTCTTCTTGTAATACATAATCAAATTTGTTTAGTAGAATGCAATGTGTTAGTAATTGAAATTATGTTCCTTCAGAATATTTAAAGATTAAATTACGCCTTTATCTAACACCTTGAATTTTTAGAATAGTTGGCAGTAATCCCATAAAATATTAAATAGTATTAAAACATGGAACCTGAGTTCAAATCTTTCTAGGTCTCTATTTGTCTCCCCATTTACATATCAGTGGTCCCACAAATTCTCACATTAAGCTTATT